ATTTTCATTTTTCATGGTTTCATTCCTGAAATAGCTGATTTTTTTAAATCAGCAATGCTAACTTTATTATCCCTTCAGATCATTTTAAACTTAACCAGTTTTTTTGGAAAGAGATAATTCGTCAAAAAACTGATGTGCGGTAACAGCGTTTCTCAAGAAAGTAACTTTTGAAATGTTTGTTCATCTAAGCAGAAAAAGCTTCAGTTTTTTTAAGTCTCTTGATATTATATTTGGATAACAGATGGTCCCAGACTCGTATCCCAGTGGGATATTAACTCTTCGAGACAACGTATTTTGGAAACTTTTGTTTAAAAATGGTTATAAACTTCTGAAAGCCTGTTATTACTGCTTTACACGAATTTCGTCGTCGCATTTTTTACATCTTTACTTCTAAAATCACGCAATATTCAAGTCCAAACACGTTTTCAATATCAACGAGAAGTGATATTAAACACGGTACTAAGAGAAATTTACTTCATAGTCGGAAGAATAGTAAAACATATTGGGAGGATATTTGAAATATTGAATTTTTTTACTTCTATTCTATTCGAGTCCGTTTTATACGAGACAGATCCTAGACGATGCACAGGAACCCAGTTGAATATTTCTTCTGCAGAACTTCAACTTTTGAACATGCATTCATTTTTCATCTTGAACCTCATTACAACAAAATGTCCAATCTACAAAAACTATTAACAATAAACTATGAAGGCGACAAAAAGCATATCGTATGTAAACATGGACACTTTTCGTGATTTTTTAATAGAGCTCGAATGTATTAATAAAGCATGCCGATTGTGGCTATTTCTTTTCTGGAAGCCACAAATCAACTAATTTTGGATTGCAAATGGAAAGTTTCTTCTAAAGTAAATTACAATAAAATATTTTGACAAAGAAAACTGAATTCGAAAATCATAATTGCATAAATATCCAATAAAACTATTTCTGTTTTTTTCATAAAATAGTGAAATACTTAGACATAAATCCTCACAAAATTGGCTTTTGTTCCTGTTAATCCAGGAATGTTTCCAATAACTTTACAATACTACTATAACGTCCTTAATAGAAAATAGATTGCATTCATCGTTTAAACTGGGCGTAATGTGAAGGAAATATTTTTAATTGTATGTACCTAAATATTGTACAATGTACTAATATTGTACCTAAACTATGCTAACATATAGCTATACTAATATTGTACCTATATACCTAAATATTGCACACTCCCGTAATCTAATGGGTTTATGTGATTGTTTTGTTCAGATTAAGATACAGATTTTCATGGGAGGTAAATTTTAAACTAATGAAGAGTGGCGCATATGAATGCACACAATTAACTGTCTGAATAAGCATTACTGTGTGACCACTGCACAAAGTTCATTCTACCCATGAGTGAACGTCCGTTTGCCTTGCCAGTATATCTGGTTAGTCGATCTTCAAAACGAGCTCTCGAGAACACGGATAGTCGAGCAAAGAGCCCGGTCCCGAAAACGACAACGACTTGAAACCGAGACAGGTTTATGAACTTCAGGTATCACCGTCGATACTCCCTATTACGGGCTGAAAGAAGGTCCACAATCGAAAAGAGGTCTGGTAAATTTTTAAACTGTGAGGTGTGAAAAGATATACAAGCATGTCAATTTAGCCATTCTTAATACAATTTTATTTACACACGTCGCCATAAATTCTGTATTTATAGTCACTATTAAAGATATCTGTTCATTAGTGATTTTTTATTGAAATTTAATGTTTGTGCGTGAACGATATTATAGAATGTATTTCATATTTGAAAGACTTGATGAATATTTCTTTAACGTATTTATATCATTACATTTGAAAAGTTTGCCTCAGTTTGTGTATTATGAATATTAAAGTACGGTAATTTTAAAACACCATTACGCCTTTAAAGAACTCACCACAAAAATTATAAGAACGAAATTGTATGAAAACGAGGTTAAAATCTTGATCATATAATTTTTTTAATTTAACTTTTCATAAATTTCATTTAATAGTAGTCATATTTCATATTTAGTTTCATTTTAATGTTTGAAACACAATTTTGTGTCATTTAGTGAATAAGCATTGAGTGTAAAAAATTGAAACAATTCAGAGTGTTAAAAAGGGTAATTTGGCTTCCGCAATAAAACATTCTTGGAACAATGACAGAAGAACCTTTAAATTTAATTTGATCTTTTGATTTACTCTAATGCTTGATCACTAATCTAGTAGATCCAGTACGTTTTAAGAAATTAATATCTGTTTGAGAAGTTGCTGTAAGTATGGTGACATTCTGTATTGAATGTTTTTGTGTCCAGTAATAATATTAACACCAGATAAACCGACTGGACATACTAGGTTTCTCTTTCCTGTCACGCGTGGTATCGCCAAACTCTGAGCGTCTAATGGCGTCACATGCACCTTCCAGGAAAAATTAGATTTTCCGTTGCATTTGGCGCAGCTCTCGCATATTACCTTAAATGGGTGCTTCCTATGTTTGTAAGAAACTACATCGATATAGGTGTTGTGGTGCGTTATCGGTGGCATTTTTCATGAAATAATTATAAATGTTGTCATTGCCAACAATAGTCAATTATTGTTGTCAATGACAACGTTTACATCGAACCACACGAAACAAAAATTCACAAATGGTCAAAGTTAAAAGAGATCAAATGGTTGCAACAGAAGGTCCAGTAAAACCTGTCTTTTTTTCATGAATAGTCGATACAAAATAACGACTGTTACTAGAAAAAAGTTTAGGCGAAGGCAAATCTATTTCAGAAATAGTACTGAACCAAGACTGAAGTCGCACACCTCATTAGTCTCCCGAGTGAAACAATTACACCTATGCCAAAAACACGTGCAGTTCCTCGGCAGCACCATAAATATTAATGGCTCCTTAATCCCTAACAAATACATCATGAACGAATTACGACCCAAGCTGTAATTCAAAGAGGAAGCGGGCCTCCGCCGACCCGACAGACGAGGCGGAGTTAATCGCCGGCGTATGCAGATTGTAGGCGCAAATGGTCGGCGGCGGCGTAGCGCTCGGTCTCTGCCGTAAGCAAACACCGGGCGGGCCGGTGGGCGCGGGGCGGAGTTGGGCGGAGCGGGGCGGGCCGCGGACGGACTGGTCGTGGCGGGAAAGGGGTAGAGGCGCGCTAATTAGCCGGCAAATCCGCGCTTTGCGTGTTCTCGCCCGCCGCCCCCGCCGCCCACGCGCGCCGTTCGACTCTTGCTGCGCCCCGCTGCAGATATGTATCGCGAAATCTGTGTGACCACTGGTGCGCGCGCCCCAACACTGACAGCGTGTTCTAGCCGAACGATAAACTTTTGTAAATTTAAACGTAATCTTTCCTGAAAGTCAATGCACTTTTTTTTCTTTTCCTTTTGCTCTCAGCGGCACCAGTGAAATATCGTGCGCAGTCATCTCGATGCCCTACTAATCTCGATGTAAATGTCCCTGCTCGATCTTTTTATTCTCACTTCGTACACTCGTGTCGTTATTTTAGTGTTAATTTTGCGTGAAATAATGATGGGCGGCCCATTCCACTTTCCCGAGGGCTTTCTTTTCATACGTTTTTAAAAGCCACTATAAATGTATTACCGTGACGGTAACTACATCGCAAAATGTTATATATTATGCGTTAACTAATGCTGACAATCGATCCATTGCCTCTGAAAATGAGTTCGTTAATTAAACTAATTGTGTGATCAAAGCCATTTTGTTTTTACGAAATGAAAAAAAGGATATGAAATGAACATAATTTTAAAATCACAAAAGAATACACATTATAGTGAACAGTACTAGAAATCACGAATGATAATTCCCAAAACGCGATGTATTTTAAAAACAAAAAGTATTTGTATTAATAGTAAGGTTACAGTATTTACAATTATTATTTATAATTTTACACTGAGAATACGATCTTTTTTGGATGTGTTAGAAAGAATGAAGAGTCTGAAATAAAATAAATTCATCAAATGCATTTTTATCATCTAAAGTACACCTTGGAGATACATAAGCTAAAAAGTTATTGATTTGAATGTATGACCCGGTTATAGTTCGATTATAATCAAAAACCTTGTATTATTGGTTTGACATTTTTTTTAAATAGTTGATCTCTCCTATTCCACATTATTCAAAAACATATTAAACTACGACAATGTAATATTCGTGGTGAAATATATTAATATATTCATAGAAATATAATGCTACCTTCAAGGCCAATTCATGATTAAACTGGAACTATAAATCGATTTTACATTTTTTTGTATTGCCTGGGACGTTGTAAACTTGATTGATAATAGGAGCACAAATTTCCCCCCTCTTCATTATACGTTCAACATTAAAGGTGATAAGTTAGTAAAGGTGAAGGAAATACGAAGTTATATAAAATATTATCTGATAAATGCTTAATTTTCATTTTAAATTACGAAAACTATTTAAAAACAGTATATTGATGCATTCATGAAGAAATCGATACATTTGGAGCAAAAGGAAAAACTACATTTCCGATAATATTGGCTAAAATAAGTTTCAAAACTTGTTTAACGTAATGTTAACGTTTAATGTTTCTGATTCCATATAAACTATTTTTTTTTTAATTTTAAACTTCATTTATTTAAAACTTTTCTTTGTTCGTCCTGGAATCGTTCCTTCCTCTCTAGCTCCCGTGTCTTCTATCAGGCTGCTTCCCGTGCTAAGTTCTGGTCAACCAGGAGGACACCGCGGCTGTGTCCGCTGAGAGCGCAAACATGTCGTTGGTTGCGGGGGGGGAGGGGCGGGGGGGGGCGTGGACGCGCGCCGAGCGGCCACGCGAGAGCGCCATCGGCGGCGGTAAAAACGACGCGCGTATCTGATGCTCATTACGGCTAATCACCGCCCCCGCTGCGCCCGGCTGGACCGCCGCCGTGTTTACACGGAGCAATTAGGCCCCCCCGGCCGCGCTCACCCCGCCTCCCCCCCCCCCCCCCCCCCGAAGGCCGGTAACGGGCCACTGATGGATAACGCGGCGCGCACAGCTCCGCACTCCGGCGACAGTCGTGTCGTGAGAGCTCCGGGCCACAAGTCACATTTGGGGCAGGCCCGTGCGTTCACTCTCTTTTGGCCTTGGGAAGAGAAAAGTTATTGTAAATATTAAAATCGTACATCGCGTTTTCTTAATAGTTTTACAGCCCAAATGAATATTTCAGTGACGCGTTGGAATATTTTAAGACATCCTAGAATCTGTCCTTAAGAATCTCTTTAAAATGTATCACTCAATACCTAAATTCACACTAGGAGTAAAGCTCGTAGATTAATACCAATCTGTTTACAATAATATGTAACCAAATGTAATTTAATTGCTTTCCAACAACTTCATGATAGCAAGAAGTGCTCGAAAAACGGTATACTATATCACAATGATGTTCATTTCTTTACTAACTGTAGTATATATTTCTATTGCGTAAGTAACTTATTTTAAAAATGAAATTAACGAACCGTAATGAAAATAAGATGTTCGTGTTTGTAGTGTAGGTAAATGGTCTCCTTTGGTGAATTTAAGTTCAGTAGTAAAGTCACATGTTTTTAAACAGTTATTAAATTTCAGCGCATCATTTCTTACGACTAATGTCTAGCAATGCACGCTTATTTATCAATCGGAGCAAAAACGTTGCTATTATATTCGTTCCTATGTCTTTTGAAATAAATCGTAAAATATTTAATTACGTCAATAGCGCATAAAGTGAGTTTTGGCGTACCAAAGTATGTTGACCGACGAGGTTACTGTGGGTGCCGCATGAAATGAGTTTATCCGGCGACATTTTCGTTCTAGAAGCATACATTTTTAGGACGAGTTCATGGAAGCTAGTCTTTATACAAATATACAAATTTTTGCAAATTCCAAGTTCCACGAATTTTTTCTAGAACCTTTAATATACTTATTACGTTGCAATTCAACAATGGGAACGTCACGACACAGTAGTTCGAAATTCTCAGAATATCTTCTCATTGTTGGGCGGTGTTTCTGGGGTTATTATAGGGAGATTTGGATTGCCAACTTTCTTGATAAATTATAATTTTATGTAACCGTTGCTGATGCAAGAAAGATATTCTGTTATAGTATCACCTCTTTAAAAAATAATTTTCGCTAATCTAGGAACAATTAAATTTAAAAAATTGAAGCCATTTTTGAAAAAAATGGGAATTTTAGGCTTCATGTTAATTACTCCCAAAAATCAAACTATCCGTTTCGAACTCTCAGAGGCTCGAGTATGTTCAGATTGCTATCAATTTTGGAGAAAATCATCTGAACTGTTTATGCGCTTGCGTTTGCTACAGACGGACGTCTTACCCTCAATCCATTTTGGAATCAAGGACCCACAAAACAATCTGAGCAATCTGAGAACACAACGCTTAAAGAAAGTTATTGTAGGGACATGTAGGAACAATATTTATCCATATTTTGTTTGACGGAGCTCGGCAGTAAGACATTTTCTGTTGAAAAATCACCGTTATCTTCCACAGCATGACAATACTGTCTATACACGGTGTAAGCAGTGGGCGTGAAAGTAAACTAGAGGTGCTACGAGATGACATATTTTCTGGCACTTAGAAACGGTAGCGTAAAAATATAATACCCAAATTTCTGTCCATATTAGCACATCTTAGTCGTCACTTGTAAAACTCATTACAAATCATAGGGAAAGGGCACAATCCTGACGCTTTGCTAGACTCTATGGTGAAATACATTCTTACCAAAAATTGATCATTACCTTATTTGAAAATCTGTCTTTAAAGAATAGATTTCATTAAGGAAAATTAGATGTGCTACAACATCAAGTACTTTCTCTTATTATTATGTAATATTGAAAAAATGTCATTTCTGCTATACTAAAACTCTTGAAAAAGTCAATTCCAACTTCATAACTTGAAAAAGACGAAGACAATTTCGACAAAGCGCCTGCGTTTATTTTGAAAAAACAAGAACAGAAATAATATTTTCTAAATTTTAGAAATGAAACGAACGTGAATACATTTAACTGTTACAGTATTTGCAAAAAATGTCTCATAAAAGCAAGAATAATTTCACAAAAGCCCTCCTTGATTACATTGAAGTGAGCATACAATTTTTGAATCCCATAATCAGCGATCAAAACGTCTTACAGTAAACAAGTGTGTTTGTGAGTTCTAAATTAATGTTATTACCTTTTTTCAATTTATTTCCTTGAATACGAATATTATCTAATATATGATCCCTTTTTTTGACCCCTGCAATACTTACCCCATTCCTTAACCCACATTAGTTAAATCAAGAATCAAACATATCAACGAGCGTTGCAGACAAAATCAGATAACCAGAAATATTCACTTCCGTATAGTAGAAACTAAGTCTGCCGAAAAACGATCTAGAAATTAGATAATTTCTTTTGTCAAAATGACCAAACCTGTCACTCCTCCTGCAACTAGCAACTAAAAGCGAGGGCTCAAGAAAACGTGCGCAGATAATACTTCATAAATCAATGATAACGACCGACAACAAGGAAAATATTTTAAACATTTTGAAACCACAGTGTTGTCTTTTTGAACTTTGCGAACTGATACCAAGTCCAACAAAGCGCGAAATTGGAATAAACAAACCGAATGTTTTTTTCATCATCATCACAGCAACAAGGTTTGGGCCTAGTGGCCCGTTTCGCTCTCAGAGTCTCTTTCCATCTTGTGTGGGGTCTGCCTCTGGATCGTCTCCCCTTTGGTTTGTATTCGAGGATAGTCTTGGGAAGCCGTTCTTGTGGCATCTCTGTGAGGTGTTCGAGCCAATTCTTCCTCGTTGAGTCGATCTTCTCAGTATCCTGGAGATCTGTAGTTCACCTCTGATGTCTTCATTTCTCTTATGATCTAGTAGTATAATATCCTGCTAATGGTCTCAGGAATCTCATTTCTGCCGCTTCGATCTTTCTTCTGTCTGACCTATTGACTGTCAGTTTTCGCATTCATAAGTTAGCATTAGGACTGACACAGTTTTGTAAAATTTTAGTTGGTGTCTTGTCTGTCTTTTGTCTTAGTGCTCTGCGGATAGTACCGCACAATTTCTGGAATTTTTGGATCTTAATGTTTATATCTTTTTTGTCCAGTATGAGATGTTAAATCCTAAATAATTAAAGTTGTTTACTGTGTCAATATTTTTTTCGTTTATCACTACTTTACATCTGATATGGTTTTCCCCTGGAATGCCATTGTTTTGTTTTTAGAGGTTGATATCTTCAAGTTATAAATTTTTCCCTGTTAACTCGAGGGTAATGGGCAGCTCTTGAGGTCGATCTTCTGAAATACTAAAAATGGCCTGGTCATCTGCAAATAGAGTAGTGTTTAAAATTGTATTGCTTATTTTAAAATGTGAAATTGAAATAAACAAACCGAATGTTTTTTTCAATTTTCAAAAACACAGAGAGTGGGAAGTCGAAAATGTGTTCTTCAAAAACGGTTCCAATTTTTTAAAATTTCTCATCAAATGATGATAAAACAATTAGGGCTAGTCTTATTATCAGCCAACTCTGTATTTTCTAAAATTGCGAAAAGTAAATATTTCAAATATTCAAAATTGAAGATATATATGTTTGCCTTAAACAAAATCTGATCTAAAAAAGAACTTTAAAAGGCCCTGTGCAACTTTTTCAATAAACGGAGTAGTTTTCGTCTAATTTCTGCGAATGCAATTTATATTAAAAAAAAAAAAAAAATTCGCGAAAACAGCTTCCCATTTTTTCTTTAATTCTTCCCGCTGTTAAAACAGGGAGCTCATTATCGTTAAACTATGCATTTTCGAAAATTGCGATAAAAAAGTAATGGGAGAGACAAATAGATTTTTAAGCATCGCGTCATCTCAAGTGAGGGCGTCAGGGCGACTGAAGTGAAGCGGTAAAGCGATGTTGGGAAGCGGAGCGGCAATTTAACTCGAAGTTCAGTTCTCGGCGCGGATAAAATTTTGGTTCATGGTTGATAATACTTATGCATGTTCATGTACTAGTATAATATTGTGGAGCCGTGATGATTAATGGCAGAAAGTGTGTGCTGTAGAGAACTACTAATTTCATTATGAAGTCACTGATTGAAAACAGAAAGTTTTCTTGAGGGCACTTATCCCACATCACATTCAGGATATAGTCACTTTTCTTCACATTTATACAATTTAATTCCTCTGTATGTCAGTCCCCATTGTCTTGCATGTCAGCTCTTGATACTATCCCCTTCTTTACAAGTCCCGTGTATTAAGTATCATTGTCAAGTAGAGCATTCAAGCAAAGAGAAGACCATGTACGAACCCAGTCCAGTATAAACGTGAAGTTACAATTGCTATAGTTTGAATTGTACAAGAAAAACTTTTTAATTATTCTTACCCACACAATTTAAACCTAGTATTTGCATGATAATGATCAAATGCATAAAATAGAACTTCGCAGGAAATTAAGCCTACTTACAAGTCGTGAGAAATATCGTGCCGAAAGATGTTTCAGTTCTATTACATGTTCTCGTAGGGCTTGTCTACTAATCTGTATCCGGGAGTGGCAAGAAAAGTGATGATGTATGTAAATGAAAAGGTGATATAAAAGGAGTTAAAAGTAAGTTAAAAAGAATACTGAACTTATCAACATCAAGATAGAAACAAGATTACTTAACGCATAAAAATTATAAAATTAAGGTACTTCTGTTTAACATTTTGTCAAATACATTATGTTTAAGATTTAACTGGAAAAAATTCAATTTCTGTGACAAATGATCCGTGAGGACCCAAGAGAAGAAATATAGGCATGCTCTGCCTGTTTGTATTTATTTCTATTCCACTACTGAACCGGACTAGTATAAGAAAGAAAAAATGCAATTCTAAAGATATCGTATTTTAACTGACTTCTAAACTCTTTTTCGAATTTACTATGAAAGTTTCTTAGATAGTTTAATACCCTAATTAGTCACCATTCCAACCATCCAGCCGAGATCGATTTATATTTGTGCTTATTTATTTTTTATCGTGTAATTAACGTAATTTTAAGAATATTAGCCTTGCTATGAAACAAAATTAAAGTAAATAATCAATTGTCAAGTTCCAATATTTCTTATAATAACCTTACCCGAAATACTTTTTACTTTCTCGCTATCGCTTAAGCAGTATAGAGAACATACTATAATGCTGCAGGAAATCGCCGAATTTTCGACACAAACACTCACATTGCCGGGATAAAACGTGTCTTTTTCTATAATAAATTACTTTCCAAAACACATTGTGTAGTCAGAATCCGTGGTGTGTGGGTCCTTGGTACCGAAAAATCTATTGTCTAAAAAAGTCTGTCTATCCGTCCTTATGTCCGTCCGTCCGTGTGTGAACAACGCCAGCGTCTAAACCGTATGCAGGATTTTCACCAAATTTTATATTTCTATAATGATCTGGCTGAAGTCCCTGGAATCTGACACAGATATTTTAATTTTGGGAAGTCCTTTACATGAAGAAACTGCAACATTATCATTTTTTTTGAAAAAGGCGCTGAATTTCTTGGAAAAATATTGTTGGTGGATAGTGTGAAGAATGGTTAAAAGAATGGTGCAGGTCTAATTTTCGTCAAAATCCCCTGTTTTGCAAAATTTCAAAATTGTTTTTTTCGGCGTCTTCCTACAACTAAAATATTGAAAATAGGGTTATTTTTCTAAATGAAATCTGTTCCTTAGTTTATATACTATTTTTCAAATTTTAAGTATTTTTCACGCAATTTTGCGTGAAATAATTCTTTTAAAATTTTGTTTATGCAACTTTTTTCTCAAAATAGCCCAATATATTTTTGGATTAAATTTTGATCTAGAATAGCGTGAAGGACGCTTAAGAGAATGTGCATGGCTCACATTCGAAAAAGCTCCTGATTTTTCGAAATTTGCACCAATGCACAATTTTTACAGCGGCTTCCTACAACTAAAATTAAGATGATTTTTTTCGTGTTCATCTAAAACAGATATTCAAATAATGTCATGATCGGTTTTTCTAGTCCAGTAGATCGGTTAAATATTAGTCGCAAAAAATCAAAATTACTCAAAAAACACTTATCTAACATATAACAATATGTCTATCATTGGATTCGTTTTATGTTCGTAATGAAAGACTAAAAAATGTGGAGTTCCATTTGAAAAAAAACACCTCTCCATCTCGTGAAATACAAGTGATAAAATGGAAACGAATACATACATCAATTAATCGCTTTCCATCATGCACTTCCATGAAAATTGCATTTCAATAACTTTAACCCTTTCAAAATTACAGGAGGTGCTGAAGTTACGTGACTCTTATATACAGTTTTTGGTTTCAGGGGGAACACATCTGGCCGGCGTTCCGTTACCTTTTCACTTACGAAATGGTGCAGAAAAAAGTAATGATCTATCGGAGACTTTATTACTTTTATCTTTATATGAACCAACCTACATGAATTCACAATGTATAAACACACTTCCATTCTGAAATCTTTTAAATTCTAAGAAAGATAAATGTAATTTTTGTATTCTTGTTATTATGTCAATGTGTAACCGATAACAGAAACTTTTAAATATTTTATCTGACTAAATTTCTGACCTTCAAAATTCACAGTTTAAATTTAATGCAATTATCTACTGCTATTATTGTTGTAGAATCCAATTAAATTTGAATTCACCTCGTGTATACGTGTAATGTTCGCAATATGCAAATATGTAGCCGAACCTCCATACATCGAAGCTGACGGTTCTTTCAATAATATTCTTGTATATTAAGGTATCGTAGTTGCGAATGCATTCTGAATGCGATATATTGATTGGATGGTTTTTAGTTCTTGATGTTCAATTTATTTGAGAAATTATCCTTGCTAGTAAGTATGATGTGCTGGAAATAACGCGAGTAACCATAAATGATGCGAGAAACTATAACTAGTCACTGTTGTAGCGCCACTAGTTAGAGAAGTTCTCCGTAATTCCAAGAAATACGTTCAAGCAAAGCCAAATCTGAGACCATTTTCGAGCCTCAATTCGAGTTCACGTCCGAACGTCTGTCCAACAAGCATCTGCCGAGTCACCGATGACTTCGGTCGGTAGGGAGCCGCCGAGACTACCATGCGGCGGCGGGGTGCGGGGACTACCGCTTCCGGTCGTAAAGCCGCGGTCCCGGCGTCGACGCCTTTACGGCCCCTGCCTCCTATAAATACGCCGGTCGATAGCTGCCGGGCCCGTGGGCGCCCCTGGGCCGCACGTGGGGGGAGCGAGGAGCGCGTTCATGGTCCATGTTAGCTCAGATTTTTTTTTTGAAACATTAAGTTATTTTTAGGCCAAATTTGAAGCCAAAAATGTCTCAGAAAAGTTGCTCGATAAAGTTGCTCAAGCCATACTCGGTTACATGGCCCGATAAATTGACGAGTTGTAATTTTTTTCCATAAAATGTTGATAATCGATTGATTACATTGTAATTGTAACGAATTATTTAAAATCTAGCATGTTCATAGTCCTTGTTAGCCCAGAATTTTTTTTTGAAACATAAGTTATTCTTAGACCAAATTTTGAAGCTAAATGTCTCAGTAAAGTTGCTCGATTATCAAGCCATACTCGGTTACACGGCCCGATAAATTGACGAGTTGTAAATTTTTCGCCTAAAATGTTGAAAATCGATTGATTAAATTGTAATTATCACGAATTATTAAAAAAGTAGCATGTTGTTCATAATCCCATAATAGGCCAAAATTTTGGAGCCAAATGTCTCAGAAAAGTTGCTCGATTATCGAGTCATATTCGGTTACCCTACCCGATTAATTGACGAGTTGAATATTTTCCCCCAAATGTTGCTAATCGATTGATTAAATTGTAATTTTGACGAATTATTTAAAATCTAGCATGTTCATAGCTCATGATAGCACAGAATTTTTTTTGAAACATAAGTTATTTTTAGACCTAATTTTGAAGCCAATAAAGTCTCAGAAAACTAGCTCGATTATCGAGCCATACTCGGTTACATGGCCCGATAAATTGATGAGTTGTAAATTTACCCCATAAAATGTTGCTAATTGATTAAATGGTTATTACAACGTATTATATAAAATGTTATATAATATGCGGAAATGGTATTTTAAATATATTTTTATACGAAAGTTGTATAAGGCTATACTCTAAAAGTTGAAATTCAGGCCAATGTTCTTGGCTCTATTCCAGTGAAATCCAACTCATTCTGATCTCCAAAACCGTATGGATAATGATGTTAAAAATACGGCAGTGACAAACTTTTATCGAATGCTTTATATTTTATTTTGCTAGTAACGTTTATCGAATGATTTAGCAAGTGTATTTAGTGTCAGAGTGTCTTGGCTGATCGTTGATCTCTCATTAAGAGCGGAAATTTACATATTTTTGTCTCACCGTATAAAATATTCATAGTTCATTTCTCGCTTTTCAATTCCACAAAATGACAATGGAACAACAATGGAGCAACAATAGAATGGCAACTCTTTTAAATTTCAAACAATTTTATTAATACTATCACATATGGTCCAATGAATTTAATATTAGATTCAGATGTTAATTTCAATATTTTGAACTAAATTTTGATACCAAATATTACTAATTAATTATAAAGTAATTGCCTTTAATTACAATGGTTTGGTCCATGGAAAATTAGGAATAAAGGTTATCACAAATTTGAGAAAAATAACCAATAGTTTTCCTTGTTGACTAATTCAGTTAACATCTGCACCATGTTTCTGCTTCATCTCACATATTTGAGAATTATTATTTTTGTCATTCCACGTCTTCATTCCAAAACTCAATACGTTTTGAGTGCTTCAATGGGTATTGCCTAATGTAATACAAAATATATTTTACAAAGCAGGCGTGTTTGGAGAAGTTAAATAATTCATCTAAAGGAACTTTTCAAGGTATAACTCAAGGTTCATCGTGCAGCATATTACTTGCTTTATCCTGAAGTCTGTTGGCATAGATTAAGGAGGTATCATTCGTTACTCTATTCCGAGGGTCAAATAGCTCCAGAAGAGCATTGCAAGAGAGGTTGTGGAAAATGAGTATGAGAGTGCTAGAAGTTCCGTGACGTTTGTCACGTGATTTTCATTTTCCCTTCTGCCTATTCTATGCAGCCATGTTAGCAGTAGTTGTAAAGTACGCTGTGAAAGAGTTACTTTATAACAAGTGTTCGTTAGTGCTGTGAAAAAGAAAGAGGCCGAGTGTCAATAATAAATTTACGATATTTGTGATGCTTTTCGGAAATTTTTATTTATTTATGTATTTTACGTCAAAAACGGTTAAAAACTGTGTGACATGCTACAGGAAGTGAATTAAGTGAAAGTTTTCATAATTCTGTGAAGATTACCTGGAATGGCTGCCTCGGTAAGTTTTCTTGTAAAAGTTATTAATTACTTTGATAATGCATTGTTAAATGTGATTCCTAAATCTAATAACGGCGAAATGTTTCCAATATTCCCTGAACATATGTACACTACAGATTATATTTAATAGAACAATTCATACTCTTCTTTATCAATTATTGAAATATGAAATAAGAAAATATGCAATATGACATTGTATTTATCTATCAAAATTTCTGTTTCATTAGGAATATTTTTTGTAACGAATTTGATTTTTGAATTTTAAGACGATGTATTGTTTATATCGGAAAATACTAAAAGATATCTTACATAAAGTACATATTTGGAAGTATATAGTGAATATTCTTTTGTATAAATAGTTTCGCCTTTCTTATTAGAGTAATCTACCATATGGAAGGCATAAATATTGTGTTATGTCGAAACCTTGAATGACGCCGCGAAATGTCAAGGAATATTTTGTTATTAATTTAAATTTGTTATGGTCTCTTTTTTTAACAATTTCTGAAAAGCCTTGATAAACATTTTTATCAGGTGTGTTGGATTTATTACAATCGCCACAATGTTTTAGAAACTTAAGTTAAAAAATATTTGTTACCGGCAAAATATGCTGTGAAGCTTAATGTCTGAAGATTAAAACAAAGCTATTCATAAAACAAGTGGCCGTAACCAATATCGCTTAATAATGTAATGATTATAGAATTAATAATATTAAATATACATAAAGCTTCTTAAAAATAACTTAAAAAGATATTTAATTTAGTGTGAGCAACACACCTTGAGCACCTGGATACGATATTTATTTAAAACGATTGTGATTTAAAACTTTCTTCATTATTCGATTAGAATAATATTTGTATACTTTTTGTGAAAAGCCACATTGTAGGAATGTACATCATTATTCTAATAAAAAATTGGTGAGTTAGTTTCGCTTTCAGCATGTGTTGTTATCATATTGTAGACTTGCATTGTCTAATAAATTGTTAAAGAGTTATTTTTCAGTTTCCATTTGGAAGATTCTCCAGCATTACACCGTAACAAAAAATATGTAATCGTGTTCTCAAAACAAAATAATGAATGCTTATTTTATCTAATATAAAATATGTATGTTTCAGCGATTGGATCTAACAGTAAATACTTTGCAAGGCATAGAGTAGGAATAGTGTAAATAAGTAACAACAGGAGCACATGTAGCATTTGAACCCATTTTATTGTTCAATATTACATTGGTATTTTTTACTGTATTTTGCTTATCGCATAACTGTTGAAACATACGTATCCAAAAATTAAAAATGTTGTAATTCATTGGCCGAACTAGTTCGATTGTCAACAAGACAGTCCGCCATTTGGGAGGACTATTCTCCATTGTTACGAATTGTTCTTTTATCTTTCATTCATCAACAATGTTTCTTTTTTTCAAACAAACGAAATAAATTACCAATATTTCTTAGTAATGTATCTACGTTCCTTCCAGTTAATATAGGAACATTTTGAAAACTTCTTTTAGAGAATCATTTTGGTTAAATTTTGAATTTCGAAAAATCACGCGTACTACATTCAGGATACTTTCGGAATCGAATTGAAAAAGAGACGCCTACATTTACCGAATTAAAGGTGTGTATCGATGTATACTATTGAAATATGCACGACAGAGAGATACTGAATTTTTCAACGCTCTTGGTCAAATTTTATACGCTCCACGATGCGCTTTTATTTTTTTCATTTTTAGATACATATCTTCATATTTCGCTCATAGAAGTTTTAATCTTTAAACCAATTGAAATAGTACTCTAAAATAGCTGAATTTATTATTCGTACTGAACGAAATTTGATAAATGGTAGTCGTAAAACGTTTTACATGTAGATGAGCATAATAAACCTTGAAGCTCCATTAAAGAGAGAAATTCAGTAAAAAGTAAGGCATCACATATAAGAGGGGGCAAGATCTGTCGGGTTTAATCGATATAGTATTGTTATCAATTTAATGACACGTTAACAAATATATTTGAGTTTATTTTACATAGTGAAAACAAGGTCAACTGGAAATTGCGGGATCTGTAGCACAGCGAATGGCAACATCGTAATTGTTTTGGCAGCAATGCATTTATTACTTCACAACGCATCACTTATTTCACGCTTTATCATAAAGACTTATTTCAATATTAAAATTCCACAGATTTTCGAAAGTCTGTGATGATTTACAGCTGGCCTCAAAATGTAAAAATTATATAAAATTAGAATAGTGGAATTCGACTTGAATCTCGTAGTATTAGTGAAATGTCCGGAAACTCGTGTCATGAAGCACCTATATAAATGATAATGTAGTGTGCACGTTGATTATAATTTGAATGTAAGCATGGTACCACACCCGAATAACGCTAGAGATCAGCAGCAGTCGAAGCGTACTCTCTAGAAAGCGGTAGCAAAGTTACAGTAAGCCCTTGACTCCAGTGTGTTCATGAAAATTCTCTGGGCCCTGGTGCTGTGACCCATGATGGATCGCTGAGTGAAGTGTTTGCGTAATGTTACATTGTTCCAGACGTAGTTCAGTACAAGGGACGAAACATTCTCTTTAGCGAAAGAATAAAGTGATTTTCACTGAAGTTAATATAAAATATAGTATATAATGTATATTAACATAAATAATCAAACATATTTATTGTACTAAGTGCACAAATATTCAAAAGAGGTTAAAATAATTGTATGAATTG